TCTGAATTGTAATGGTATGGGCAAATCTGAGACCAGAGTGTTCCAAAAAGAGGGAAGCGCAAAGGCCCCGAGGTGAGGAATGCTTAGAAAGCAAGCAAATGTTGCCAGAGTGGAGAGAGAAATAGAGAAAGAGAGAGAGTGAATGCTAGGAGATGAGGTCAAACAGAAAGCACAAGGTCCAATTATGACAGAGTTCTGTAAGCCAGTGTGAGGACTTTGCATTTCATTTTGAGTGAAATGAGAACCGCTGGATGGTTTGAGCAAGGTAGTGACGTGATCTGATTTCCATTGTAAGGAAATCATACTGTTGGGGCTGCACCATACAGGGCGGAGTGGCAACAAAGGCCTCTTCAGCTGCTGGTCCTCAGGTAGTTCAAGGAGCACTCCACAATTCTGAATATGTATCTAGTTTATCATACATTTTCTTGAATTTCCCATCGGTCACAAATCTTACTCATGTTCCTTTTTAGAATTGTTAATTAATATATTTTTTTGGATGCCATAGCCCCCATGCTTAAAATCTTACCCTCCTCACAAGTCATCCTTTAGTTTATTTAGAAATTCCAATTCTTGCTAAAGGGTAACCCTGTGAGCTTTGAGATGGTCTGAAGAGTATGTGCTAAATTGCCATAGCCTACTTATTGGTTCTATTTTGGAGTCCATGTGAAATCTCAGCCTCCTTTCTTTCTGTTTACATTAAGAATGTTCTTGCTAAACCAGCCCCCTTCTGACCTCCCTCATTACTTTGGGCTAGTCTGAAGCAACAGACGGACTGGCTGAACTTATGCATTGTTCCTGGGGCATAGGTCTTTGTAGGAACAGTTATAACAATTGACCATGTTTGGAGAAGAAAGCCTTTGTAAATCTTGAGTGCCCAGGGAGAGATGTGTGTGCCTGGGGTTTCTGAGAAGACATTCATGTATTTATCAATTATTTATTGGGTACATCAGCTATGTACTAGGTCCTGAATTTAGAGCTTGCATTGTATAGTCACTTAAGATATAGTTCTTAAAGAGACCAAAGCCTGACAGACGAAAATAGACTTTCCAAAAATGATTCCCTCATAGTATTTATAGGTGGTATGATTAATTTATATATAAGGCTCAAGGAAGAGACATGGAAACATTTGGTAGAGGCTGGAGAAGCTTAGAGGGGTGATATTTTAGTCTTGAAGAGATGATCCAGGGGTGGGGTGAGTAGAAGGGCACAGCATGAGTAATAACTGTGAGATAAGACCCAGGCCTCTTGTGAGACCCCTAAACACCTCAGGATGCCTGGTATATAAGGGTGAGAGTGGGGCTAACCAGGATATATAGTTAGACAGGCCAAGGAGAGCCAAGTATGACACACTGTGGCTTTTGAACTTATCCTGTGGACAAAAGGAAGCCTTGTAAAGTTTTAAGCAAGGTTGTATTATGACTAGATTCTCATTTTTAAAAGACCACTTTGGCAGCAAAAGTGCACTGAGACCAATTAGAGTACTATTGCAATAATTTACATAAGGTGAGGGCCTCAATCAAGGCAGAGCGGGTTAGTGGCTGGGGCAAGGAGTAGGAGGAGATTGTGCAGAGGTGGTGAGGAAGTCAGTGGGATACAGTGATGGAAAGAAAGGATAGATTCCAGAAGTTTTAAGAAGGTAGAATTGATGGGACATGTCAGGAGATTTGATGTGGGTGATGAGGAAAAGGAAAGAGGAAAATTCGGGGGAAATATGAGTTCAGTTTTTGAATGTTAGAATTTATGGTGATTGTGGGACTTCCAGCTGGAGATGTTCAGTAGACAGCCAAATATTTGAGAGCATTACTTAGGAAGTTGTTTTGTAAAGATGTTTGATACAAACAACTTAGGTTCAAAGTTCCTTGAATCCTTGATTTAATGAGCTTTCCCGGTCTTCACTTCAGCAAACCATCTCCACAGTGATGTCTAGATCTTAAGACCATCTTCACCTGCTCTAAATTTGAAGAACTAAAGTCTAGTATGGCAGTTTGACCACTGGTTCTTCCTATCTTCCAGCTCCCTTATTACCTTATAGCCATATCTTTTCTTTTAGGTCACTGAGACTTCATGTCCCTCTGCTTTTTCTTTTACTCCTAGTCCGTCGAAACTTTGCACTATTTCTTTTTCTATGTAGTCTAGACCATCAAGGACCCTGTCCAAATCATTCATCTTTTAGTACATATGATAGCCTCATTCCCTTGATTTCTGACATATTCATTCTGCATTCTTTTTTAATTGATTTATTGATTTATAATATCGTATAAATTTCAGGTATACATCATTGTATTTCACCTTCCGTATATGTTCATTGAAGCATTATTCACAATAGCCAAGACTTGGAAACATTCCGCACATTCTTAATGTTAGCTCTGGGCTGTGGATGCTAAAGGGAAGCAAACCATGTATGGACAGGGACCACCACAAGTATGTGGATTCTAGTGGGTCCCTCAGCATCTCTGTATAATATTTTTGCTTGTCCTTGGCCATGTTCCTTTTCCAAAACCTATTGCATATTCCAAACTTTCACCACCTTCTTTACGCCTACCTCCACATTGACACCTTGCTTTACAACCCAGTTGGCAGGTGGTCTTATTCTCTACTTCAAAGACAAAATTGAAGGGATCATGTCTGATTCCTTCAATCATCCAATTCCACACCTTCAAACTTATCCATGCCTGCATCTATACCTCCTTTCTTCTGGCCACAGAGAAGAAGAAAATTCAAAGATGTTAATATTTAAAGGTGATTCTGTATTTTTCATCTGATCATTACTCTTTCAATTATTCCTTCTTTCTCTTCTACATTAATCTCTCTCTGTTTGCACTTACCTTCTGCATGCTCAAGTCTTCTTCATCTTAAAAAAATAAAAGCCCTCATTTGAACCTTCATTTCCCTCCAGCTGTCAATCACCTCTCCAGATAAGATGGGTCAGTGAATGTTTATGATCTTGTGCCTCTAAACCAGGGTTTTTCCAACTTCAATACTATTTGGGGCCTGATAGTTTCTTTGTTGTGGAGACTGTCCTGTGCATTATAGGATGTTGAGTGGCACTCCTAGTCTTTACTAATTAAATGCTGGTAATATTCCACATGCCCCCAGCTATGATAACCAAAAATGTCTGTAGACCCCTGTTGGGGGAGAGGAGCAAAATTGTTGTAGCTGAGATTAAACTCATAGCAGTGGTTGTTTGAGTAGACATGTGCAAAGAGGCTTTGAAAAGCTGTAACAACATTTTATTAGTAGAAGAGAATGTAGCTTATTATGCTACTGGAGTGATGACAATAGCAAAGACTATTCTTCTGTTGAGAAGCTAGGCTGACAAAAAACCCAGTAGTGCATATAGAGAGAGGGAATGAAAAATTGTTGCTCTGGAGAATGTTGAGAGTGGACACTGAGAGATTGTGTGACTTCAGGTGATTGAAACTTACCTGCTGCAAAACATATGCTAATTAATTAATTTCTTTTCATTAAGATAACTGCTTTCTGATATATTATGTAGTAAATTAGCAAGCTGGATAACTCATTACCATATATGATGGAAGCATAGTGACAGGTTTTACAGGAAGAGAAACATGACCCCTAAAGAGAAATGTATGCCCTTTGAACGATGGTCAAATTTGAAATGAGGTTCATATATGTTAATGATATTTATGTATACCAAGATGTTCAAGTTTGTATCAATTTTGAAAAAAAGGACTGTGAGTTTAGGTATAAATTATGGAATGTTATTCTTTAGGACAGAAAGGAAAAATGGTAGTTCCATTAAGCACAAGAAGTGCCCTTTTCATTTCAGCACACCCAGCACTGACTTGGGTCTACCATTGGATTCAGTTCTCTAGGTTGCTCCCTCTTGGTGGATAACGTAGGAAACTGAATTAAGAAAGTCAGAATGTCTGTTGTGAGAGCAGGAGACAAGGTGATTCCAAAGTGGCCTTAAGCTCTGTATTTTATTTTAAAATCTTGTCTATGTTGTAGAAGTTTCCTGAGACTTTTGAGACCTAATGACATGATGCCCTGAAAATATGTTTTAAATCAGTTATTTTTAATTTGTTGAGTGCTTGCTGTGTTTCAAACCCTGGGCTGAAATCAGGGAAATATCTCTAGTTCTTCTATAAATGTGAGATGCAGTGATGTAAGGGCGCCAGCTCCTCTTGGCTCACAAGAGCCCATTTTCCACCTGTCTTCTCAACTCTGGTGACTGGAGTCAGTGATGGTAGGAGTATTTACATCATGGAATCAAAACGCCCCACAAATCAGAGCTTTTTTTTTTTCTTTCCAGAGAACTGTTTTATCAGCATGCCACTGAAGATAGGTCTTATTTTCCCCATTTTACAGCTGAAACTAAGGCTCTGAGAAGTAACTTTCTAAATGAGTATAACTTTGAAAGCCACATGAGCCCTTAGGAGGCAAGGCATAATATTCATATAAGACAATTCCTTATTTTTCTACTCAAATGGCATACTCCAGTTGAATTTAGGTTTTCTTCGTGGAAGATTCAATATCCCGGTGAACCGTATGTTTTTCTTCTTTTTTATTTTCACTGTGTACGACAGGTTATAATGAGACGATTTTGATGTTCTTCTGTTTCTCACTGAACATAATGGGTCATAAGATACTCCTTGATACCTGGATTTTGGTGTATTTTAGAATGTTATTTTTCATCATACTTGGTTTTCTAACAAATATGTTATTTGCAAAATGTTCCCAGCATTTGATTACTTAACCCCTGTTCTAAATACTAACTAGTTCTATGATCCTGAATAAGTTTTCTTAGCTGCCCAGTATGGAGGATACCACCACTGACCGCTAAGGTCAGTGCCATTCATGCCAGCTTGAAGATTCTGGTTCTTCTAACAACTAGAGTATGCCCAGCTGTTAAAATTCTAATATGGAACATAAGTTCTAAATAAAGAAATTTGAGTCTAATTTTATTGAAAATGCAGCCTTAGAAGTGAAGTTTGTTATTTTGTCATGCAATGAAGTTTTCTTTTTTGTACCGAAAGTTTCAGAATCTGAAGCTGAGGGAACTCTACTGTGAGGAAAACCCGCTGTTGCTGAGGCAGCCAGTGAAGGCTGTAGGACAGGAGAACGTCTGGACTCTGCAGGTGAGGCTTGTCGTTCACGCAGGTCTTCAGACGAAAGCCACGGTCTGAGGTTCAAAGTTTTCTTGTAAAGCATCCTTGCCATGTCAGCCAATGATTAATGTAACCCTAGTCCATCAGCAATGTGGATATTAGACATAGTCTCTTTGACTTGCTTACAGGATCCAATGTAATCCTATCTGATCTCCAGAGTGACTAAATTCAGAGAAATGGAAACATTTTGTTGGATGAAAAGAAAAGAGAGGACTTTCTTTTCGCTTTAGCCTTCCAAGTATTTTTTCAGGATGTATTTGATTTGTTCTTAGCAGAGTCTTTGCATCTTCCATTGCGTTTTCACTTGTCCCCATTCCTAGTGGATGAATGTATATGATCCAGAAATCGTGTTCGTTTTAGTAAAACAAGTTGATGATATTAAAAGAAGGAATAAGAAAGCATATTAGAGGACTCTCTTTGTGTGTCCTTTGGTGATGGATGAGTTCAAGATGGCAGATCCACGTTTGAGTATGAGTCTCCATCATGAATTTGGACATCTCAGGTCCATTGAGGTCTATAGCTGAACTTGCAGAGTTGTCTTAAGACTTTCAGGAATTGCATAGGATTCAAGTTTCCTGGCTGCAGGAAACAACTAAGCTTGTTTAATAATTTACTTTGTTTTAAAATAACTTTTTCCGTTATTGCATAAGTGATATACATTTAATTACAGAAAACTAGAAAATTCAGGTGAGCAAAGAAGAAAATAAAAATTATAATACTATACTGATTTTAAAAAAAGTTTATTACAAAAGTAATACAAGCTCATTTAGAGAAATCAGAAAAAAGTAAGCTAAAAGAAGTTGATAAAAATACTCAAAAGTCTAGTACCCAGAGATATGACTACTATTCTCTCTGATATTTATTCTTCTAAAACTTTCTATGCATCTAGAATTATTTTTATTGAGAATAAGTTCAAATTTTACATACTATTAAGAGACTTGTTTTTTCACTCAAAAATATTGTGAGGATCTTTCAAATTAGTAAAAAAAAAATCAGTCTATGACGTCTTTTTTGATGAATACATAGTATTCATAGTTATATGATCACACCATAATATTTTTAACTACTTCTCTATGTTGGCTATTTAGATTATTAATAATTTTTTGGCTTTTTGGCCTTTATAAGCAACACTAGAGTGACCACCCTCATAACAAATTTCTCATGTTCATAATATCCCTATGAGTGAAATTGTTGGGCCAAGGAACTGGCATCTTTTAAAGTTTGATTAGCACTTTTCAAATTCCCTTCCAGAGAATCAATCTGTATTTCCACAAATAGTATTATTTTTTACTCTTGTGTGAAAAAAAACTTATTTGAAATTTAATTGTAAATGAATTAAAAAACTGCAGTATTTAATTTGTTTAATCTCTTATAAGCTATTTGTTCTCCTTGAATCAAGCATTTCAGAATAATAATAATAATACCTAACACTTATTAAGTTTACTAGGGGCAAGGCACTTTTGTAAGCACTTACCAGGAGTGAACTAATCTAGTCCTCCAATAATTCTAAAAAGGTAAGTACCATTGTTGTCCCCTTTTTATGGACAAATTGAGACCCAGAGAGATTAAACAACTTGTCTGAGTTCACAGAGCTAGTAAGTGTTGGGATGATAATGCCAACGTAAGCAATTGGGCTCCAGGTTTCATGCTGCAATGTTGCCTTGAAAGGAGCTGCCGGAGGTGAAGGAAAAGGAAAAGGGGTAGTCCCTGGTTGGAAGAGGTTCCAGTTAGTGGAGAGGCTGAATGAGCAGCTAGCCCAAGGTGGCAGTGGTCTTCCAGGGAGTTCTTGAAGGCAAGAAGGTTGCCCTGTGGCTGGGAGCAAGACACAGGGTGAGAGAGCACTATTTCTTCCTTCTCATTTTCAAAACTATAAGGAGTCAGGAGCACAAGGGTGTTTTGTTTGTTTTTTTTTTTTAAATATACATATATACCTAATAGAAGTAACAATTTTTACTATAAGTGATTGGGGTATTTATGAAAGTATCTCTAAGAATTTTTCTTAGAAAGGTGACTTAAATTGACTATACATTTTGTATTTGTACTTAAAGTAAAAGTCATTTCTACTGGACATTTGGTTAACATTACTGATTGAACTACTTGGGCTGTCAGAGAACTATAGGGCTTTGATCCAGGCTATGCCTTGGTAAAGATTTTTAAAAACTTTTCTTCACTTTGGAGATTTACAAACTAAAATTTAATGTTAAGAACTACATTATAACAAAATATTAGCCAGAAAATACTGCATCAGTAGATGAGAGGCTAAGAGTTTTACTTGTATTATCTAATTTAATTTTCTGAACTCTACGTGATAGTGTTGGAAAAAATCCCTATTTTACAGATGAGGTCCCCAAGATCAGAGAAGTTAAGGACTTGTCCAAATAAAGTCACGCAGCTAATAAGTCATAGAGTCAGGATTTGCACCTATTTATCTAGCTGACTGTGACTTTGCTTACAAAGAGAACCTTTGCTCTTGATGCTTTGTTTAGTGCCTATCATGCACACAGCAACAGTTGATTATACAGTGGTTCCAAAGTTCAGCATTCCTTCTAAGGATTCATATTTTTTTATATTTTATAATTTTTAATGTTCATATAAATGTAATTTGTATATGGACAATTTTGTAATTCAAATTAAATTATCATATGTAAGGAAAAATAAAATAATACACTTCAAACTAATTTTAGTCTATGATAGATTAAACACAGGAATAATCTCTGACCTACATATAGTTAGCTAACAAATATTCTAACAAAATAGCATATAGACTATTCAAAAGGAACGATTTATTTACCCATAAGAGATTTCTTGACTTTTTAACACTGGAATTAGGCGATCATTAAGTTGTATATTCTCAAAAACTGCATTGCATGTATCTTTAAGAGGTGTCCTAAAAGATACCATTGGCAGGACCAATGGTATCTTACTTTATATATACTTGAATTTCCAAGTACTAACTTTATATTTCAATGGTATATGTTATTCTTCCAAGGTAACACATTGGCAGCAAGTAAGGGAAGAATATAAATAATGGGTAATGTAAGAATTGTCAAGAGACATACAGGTGCAACAAACATATTTGGTTCCAGAAATCATAAATGGAAAAAATGAACTGTATGAGTTGTGACCTATTTATAGGTTCCATTATTTCAGCAAATTCTTCTACCATCTGCTATTTTGGGGAGTCAATTCTTGTCTATTAGTTTCCTGCAGCTTTATAGTGAGACCCAACCAGTGAATTCTGGTAGCTAAAAATTTACCTCTAAACTCAATATTTCATTCAGAATCACAAGCTATGCTCTGTGTAAATAGTTAGAGAAAGGTCATCATAGACATTTAATTTAGGAGTCCTGGCAATATTAGTATGAAAGGGTAATTCTCTCAGAAAAGATGACCTCATTATGTAACCACCCAGGAAAAGGAGCTTAAGTGGGTAGGAGGGTATGCTGTTGAAGGATCAGACGTTTAAGGAACCCATGCTCAGGCTGTTTGCTGTATAAAGGCAGCTTTCCTAGATGCATATTAAGTGGAAGGGATAGAGTAGCAAGGAACACGGAGACAGCAATTATAGGATTTTGTTGTTATTTTTAAGATTTTAATTGGGGTGAATGAGTGAAAGATTATGTATGTATGTATGTATGTATTCCCAAGGATTTCTATCAGAGTCTGATGTGGATTATTTCAATATCACTGGGAAATCTTTCACTTTGGCCAGAAAAAAAATCCCATACACTATTAAAATTCCTGCAATGTTTGTGTAACATTTATACAGGACTTCCATGCTACTGGCACGAACAATGGGGGGCATTTAGTGGAGTAAATCAAATGTTTATTTTATTTACTTGGTCAGTGAAGACTTAATTTTATGCATTATATATATTTTTTTACTTTAAGATGATGATGTTGTTGATGGTCGTGGTGAAAGTCAGCTTATATCCTCACCACCCCTTTTATTATTTAATATTATAATATTATTATTACCTAAAGTAAGGTTTCTGGACATATCTATGTGGGTAGGTTTAATGCAGATTGAATTCAGAGATTTGGTTCATAGGAATCAGTGCCCTTTACCAGTATGGCTGTATTCAGGTGCTCATTGTAGTAGATGACTTAGACCAGTGCTTCTCAAACTTGAACATGCATGCGGATTACTCCGGGGAAACTTGTTAATTGCAGATTCTGATTCAGTAGGTCTGGAGTGCAACCAAGAGTGTGAATTTCTAAAAAGCCTCCAGGTGATGTAGATTCTGATGGTCCACAATCCACAGTTTAAGTAGTTAGGATTTAGACATTAGTAAATACGACAAGACTCAACTTTTGAGTCCAGTCTAAATATTTGTACAGTCCTTGCTTATTGTAATGAGAGGCACAAAATTTGAATGTAAACTTTATCCAATAATGTAAATTTATTATAACTTGGATTCCTGTATGTAAGAGACATAGAAACATTACAATAGAAATAACTTGCTTTTCTTATATTGTTGAAAACTAAATTTATTTACAATGTCTGTCATTGACAATATAATTCATTATATATACTATGGAAAATTAATTTAACAGAAACTGTGAGGAATAAGCCAAAAATATAAATTAGTTAAATGGGAATCAATGTAATGTAGATTAGTTATTTTGAAAATAATCTGAGGAACCATATTCTTTTTTAATCTAGGAAATAACATCAAGATTTATAATGAATCAGCTAGCAGAAAAGAATCTTTTCCTAATGCAAGCCATAGAATGGTACCCACAGGTCAGGAACATGATCTCTCAGGGAAGAAAATGTGCAATATGTGGAAAGTCCTTTTTAACAGTATGGCTGGAATGTGTTGAATTTGTTCCTCCATCAAAGGTAAATGGAGATTTTTCTGTGAATATGAACATAAGCCCTTCTTTCATTCTTTGTCCTTATGTAAATTAACCAATACTAACTAGATTTGTATCTAAGAATTGACTTCCATGATAGCAAAATGGGTTTTTTTCCATCTTTAATGAGATATAATTGACACATAGCATTGTGTAAGTTTAGGGTGTACAACTTGTTGATCTGATACATTTATGAGTTACAAAATGATTACCATCATAGTGTTAGCTACCACCTGCATCCCATCACATAGTTATCGTTTCTTTTTTTGTGGTGAGAACACTTAAGATCTACTCTCTTGGCAACATTCAAATATGTTATACAGTATTATTAGCTATAATCACCATACTGTACATTAGAGGCCCAAACTTGTTAATCTTATAAGTGGAAGTTTGTACCCTTTGACCAATATCTCCCCATTTCCTCCACCCCCTAGCCCCTGGTAACCACCACTTTACTGTTTCTCTGAGTTTGTCTTTTTCAGATTCCACATATAAGTGATATCACACAGTATCTGTCTTTCTCTGACTTATTTCACTCAGCATAATGCCCTCAAGGTCCATCCAAGTTGTCACGAATGGCAGGATGTCCTTCTTTCTCATGGCTGAATAATATACCGTGGAATATATTTTGTATGTATGTGTATATATATATATACACACACACACGCACACGCACACACACGCACACGCACACACACACACATCCCACATCTTCTTTATCCATTCATCTGTTGACGGACATTTAGGTTGTTTCCATATCTTGCCTATTGTGAATAATGCTTCAGTGAACGTGGGAGTTCAGATATCTCTTTGAGATTCCTATGGATATATACCCAGAAGTGTGATTGCTGGATCATATGGTAGTTCTAGTTTTAGTTTTTTGAGGAACCTTCATACTGTTTTCCACAGTGGCTGTACCAATTTATGTTCCCACCAGCAGTATATGAGGGTTCTCTTTTTCTCCATAACCTTACCAACATGTGTTATTTATTGTCTTTTTGATAATAGTCATTCTAACAGGTGTGAGGTGATCTTTTTGTGGTTTCTATTTGCATTTCCCTGATGACTAGTGACGCTGAGCACCTTTTCATGTACTTGATGTCCATTTGTATGTCTTTTTTGGAAAAATGTCTATTCAGTTTCCTTGCCCATTGTTTAATTGGGTTGTTAGTTTTTTTGCTATTGAGTTGTATGAGTTCTTCATATATTTTTGATGTTAATCCCTTATCAGATATATAATTTGCAAATATTTTCTCACATTCCATAGGTTGCCTTTTCATTTTAAGTTTTTTTTGCCGTGGAGAAGCTCTTTAGTTGGATGTAGTCCCATTTATTTATTTTTGCTTTTATTGCTTGTGCTTTTGCTGTTGTATCCAGGAAATCACTGCCAAGACCAACGTCAAGGAGCTTTTTTCCCCTATGTTTTCTTCCAGAATTTTACAGTTTCAGTTCTTAAATTTAAGTTTTTAATTTCGAGTTAATTTTTCTGAGTAGTGTAATATACGGGTCCAATTTCATTCTTCTGCATGTGGTTATCCAGTTTTCCCAATACCATTTATTGAAGAGACTATCCTTTCCCCATTGAGTATTCTTGGCTCCCTTGTCAAATATTAGCTGACTATATATGCTTGGGTTTATTTCTGGGCTCTCTATTTTGTTCCATTGGTCTATGTGTCTATTTTTATGCCAGTACCATACTGTTTTGATTACCATAGCTTTGTAGATAGTTTGAAATCAGGAAGTGTGATGCGTCCAGGTTTGTTCTTTTTTTCAGGATTGCTTTGGCTATTTGGGGTCTTTTGTGGCTCCATACAAATTTTATAATTGTTTTTTCTATTTCTGTGAAAAATGCCATTGGAATTTTGATAGGAATTGCATTGAATCTATAGACAGCTTTGGGTAATATGGACATTTTGACAATATTAATTCTTCTGATCCATGAACATGGGATTTCTTTCCATTTGTTTGTGTCTTCTTCAGTTTCTTTCAGCAAGGTCTTGTAGTTTTCAGCGTATAGACCTTTCACCTCCTTTGTTAGATTTATTCTTAAGAATTTTACTGTTTTTGATGCTCTGGTGAATGGGATTATTTTACTTCGTTTCAGATGTTTTGTTGTTAGTATATAGAAATGCAACTATATTTTCTGTATGTTGATTTTGCATCCTGCAGCTTTACTGAATTGGTTGATTAGTTCTTGCAGTTTTTTGGAGGAGCCCTTAGGATTTTCTATATATAAGATCATATCATCTGCAAACAAAGACAGTTTTGCTTCTTTCTTTTCTGTCTGGATGCCGTTTATTTCATTTTCTAGCCTGACTGCTCTGGCTAGGATTTCCAGTATTATGTTGAATAGGAGTGGTGTAGAGCTTGGCACAGTGCTTGGCACATATTTTATTTCTAAGAATGACTGATGAATCACAAGATCTGGATTTGAATACAAGCTCCTCTGTTTTATTAGGTTATTAATATATTACATCAAATGTATCATAGAGAAAAATCTGGCAGAGTCATTGCCAATGAGGGTTAATGTCCTCAAAGGTGAAATAATGATTGAGGAGATATTTGAAAGTCAAAACCAGCTAGACATTAAACACCGAGTGAAAATAGAGATCATCACTGGAAAAATGAAAACAGAAATGTATGTTGCTTCTCAAGATGGGAGTACATCTGTAATCTTGATCGCTTATGTAACTGTGATATTACGAGATTTATAAGAAATATATACATATTTGTGTTATGACCCAAGGGGGGTCATTTGCCCACCACAACACATGCCAATAGTCAAGAGGCAAGGTGGTAGGAGAGAAAGAGTTTTATTACAGCTTCCTAGCAAGGGGGAAGATGGCTGACTAATGTCCAAAAGAACCATCTTAAGGGGGCACACAGAATCTTCAAGCAATTATATAGGCCAGTGAGTTATAGGGGAAGGGGTTAGGAATATTGATGCCCCTGGTGTTGCAGACTGGAAGTTGCCACATCAGATCTTTCAGTTGTCGTGGATATCAGCATAGAATCTCTGTCCAGAGGCCATCACAATCCTAGGGTACTCAAAAGACAAAATTAATCATTTTATCACAGCTGGGAGGGGCCATAAAATCTACAGAGCCTGCATATCCCCTGGAGACAGGCCCTTAATTATCTAGGCTATGTGCAAACTAAAGCGTAGTTTCAAAGGGGCTGGTGAGTCAGGGTCATTCATAGTTCCAACATGGCTTTCTCCTGTAAGATGGCTTCCCTTAGGCTAACTTTTGACAGTGCCTATGTCAAGTAACTCAGCGGAGCTAACATTTGGTCATTCTGATGACCAAAATATATTTCTCAGATATATTTGGTCTTTATCCATTGTTCTTGGCTCACACCTCCCAAAACCTTAGGAATTTTCTGCGTGACAAGAGCAATGAGAGCATCTTTTGTTATAATATTTGGTCTCTTGTCCCCAGTTCCTGAAAACCTTCAGAGCCATAAAGATGTCTTTTCTTATGTTAATGAATTTACTTTTGGAAAGCACAGAAGGGTGAAGGCTGGTTGCCAGGAGAACCATGTATGTGATCAGATGATTGGAACTTTCAGTCCCATCCCCTGATTTCTGGGGAAGGGAGGGAGGCTTTAGGTTGAATCAGTCTCCAATGGCCAATGACTTAGTCAATCATAACTACATAATAAAGCCTCCATAAAAATCCAAAAGCACAGCTCGTTGGTCCTTTTTTTCAGAGAGCTTCCACGTTGGGAGCCAGGACTCTTCCACATGTCACCAGCCAGAACCCAAGCTCCGTGAGGACAGAAGCTACTTTGTTCAGGACCTCACCCTGTTTCTCTCTTCATCTGACTGTTGATTTGTATCCTTTAATGTCCTTTGTAATAAATTGGTAATCTAGTGAATAAACAGATTTTCTTGAGTTCTGTGAGCCATTCTAGCAAATTAATCAAACCCAAGGAGGGGGGCCTTGGGAACCTCTGATTTTTAGCCAGTTGGTCAGAAGTACAGGTAACAACTTGGACTTGGGATTGGCATCCTGAGTTGGAGAGAATCGTTGGAATCTCCAGTTTGTAGCCAGTTGATCAGAAGCACAGGTAACAACCTGGGCTTGCAACTGGCATCTGAAGTGGAGGGCAGGCTTGTGGGACTGAGCTCTTTGCTTGTGGAATCTGATTCTGTCTCTGGGTAGATAGTGTCACAATTGATTTGAATTCTGCGACATCCCTCTGGAGTCCGAGAACTGCTTGTTCGTGTGAGGAAGCGCCCCCCCCCCCCCACCTACACGTTGGAATTGGGTCCAGGAACCCTTTGCAGTAACCTATCTGTGAATTGTTCACATTTCCATCTGGAATGGATTGTTATATTCAAGAGACATTTTATGAGTATAACACATGTTGTATTACTTAGTAAAAGTTGCCAAACACTCTGCTGTTCACTGGCCATGACATGAACACCTTGGGCAAGTTGCCATGTTCATTTTTTCCCAGTGAAAGTCTTTCTTATAAAAGATGTCCTTGTTCTGATAGATTCCCTCTCAAAATCATCTGATGAGCTGCTAGTCTCATTTCAGTAAAGAAATTGCAACCTAATAATAGTAACCACAGCCAACATTTATTTGGTACTGAGTGTGTATCTGACATTGTGCTACGCATGTCACTTGTAATTCCTCAATTAATGTCCAAAATAACCACATGACACCTATGAGAAATTCAAGGTGCAGAGGAGTGAAGTAATTTGACCGCCTTCACGAAGCTGCTAGGTAAAGGCTCTGAGGAGGGAACCCATGTATGTGATTCCTTGCTCTTAACCAGACAAGCTGGCCCATCATTCCTAAGCTTTTCAATCCAGTATTCCTCATTTGCTTCAACTGAATTTAAAGCATTCATGTTAAAGAGCCTTATTCTGTCATCATTTATTTATCCACTCAAACTCATTAATTTTTTTCCTACTATGTGTCAGGTCCTTTACCAAGGGCTGGGAATACAGAGCTCCAGCTCTCCAGGAACTGA